TAATTTATAAGGGCAGTGTTATTTATCACCTGATTATTTTTATTAGAGGCTTACCCCCTCCCCTTTTTTAATATAAAACAAATCAGGTTCTTATATATAATTTTAACTTTTTTTACCCCCTCCCCCCTAAAAAATCACCTGATTTTTGTCACATCCCTAATGATCTAAAATTTAATAAAATTTTGTATTATACAAGTAATCAAAATCAAGATCAATACAAATGTTTCATATCCAATTTAACAATAATTTATCAAATTCTACTTATATTATCGATCAATATAAAAGATTATAAAAATATTAAAATTAAATTTAATTTTGTCAACCAAAATATTAATGTATAGTATATAACTCATATAATTTTGTAATAGCCAATTTAGCAATATTAATTTCATGAAAATTTATTATTCAGGGTTTTTTTAATAGATGTAATCTGTTATCTGTTTGTATATTTAAAATTTAACAAATATCTGAATGAACAATTCTAGGCATCTTTGGCCAGATATATTTAGCTTATATATTTTTGGCCCAAAGCTATACCCGATCAAATAACTTAATTAAGGTTAGGGTCATATAGGGTTAGGGCAAAAGCAAGTTATATAAGCAAAATCACCTTCTCGATACTTTTAATTAGTGACCCAAAATAGTTTTAAATAGCTGTTTTTGATATTTTTCATATTCTTTACTTTTTCATGCTTTTTGTTGTTGTTTTTGTTTTGTCAAATTGATCCGTGATGATCATTCTTTGTACTATATGAAAACAGCTATTACATGATTATTTAGTATTTTAATTGGCCCTTAGGTCTGAAATATTATCATTAGACATCTCTGGCCAGAGATGCCTAGAAATACCTATATCTGAATATTCTGATTTTTGAAATTAATTTTAATGATCTTATAAGATTTTTTTTCTTCATATATTTTACTTTTGAATTTATATATTGACAATTTTTCAATAGCATAAAATTTAAAAAATATTGATATATACTTTTCAGAGTACTAAAAATTAATTGTAATTTAATTAAACATCTGAGTTTAGTATTATAAGCTGATATGCAGCTAGTCGACTAAGTTGACTTAGCTGACCTCTGATCAACTAAATCGACCAAATTGACTTAGTCAACAAACTAAAAATTATTGGTTAAAGTTCAACTATTGTCTTCTTTTAAGAGTTTTATTAGATAAGTTGATTATTGTTTATATAGGATCTGTATCGACACATGAGATCATTATTAGCAAAGCAAAATTTGCCTTTAATGACTTAGTTGACTAAGCAGTGACTTAACCGATAATTCAGTTAGTCGACTATTAGTCGATTGACTAACAGCACTATTTGAGTTTATTTTAAAAATAATATTTTGACTACTATATTTTTGCATAATATTGTGACCAAGATAAAATCATTACCCAAAAAAGTTTCAAAAATCATGTGCTATTGATGATTAGGATCATAATTGATTTAGTAATTTATTTTCTTTGATTCTTCAAAATAAAAAGTGATTATTGCAATCTTGACAAACCAAGTGATTCTTTTAAAAGCATAAAATTCAATAAACATAATAATCCAAAAATATATATTGATTGCTATAACCAAATTTCTATTAATAATAAGACAATTTTTTTTTTTTTTTTTGATGTTAAGGTGATCCCTTTGGTCATGTATTTTATTATTGTTTGGATTACTTTTACAACTAGATGATCTATATCTGTCATACATATATTTCTATATATATAATCTCGATACAATACTATTTTAGTAACTACTTTAGAATAATTTTATTCTCAGAGTAAATCTGCTAGAGTCTTCTATACTCATAATCTGACTAATCTAGGCTTTAGTTGATATGTACAGGCCAAGGCCCACCACTTGCACCCTAGTTTTTATAGTAGAAGTATTCTTTGGCTGTTTTGTTCTTACTAGTTTTTTCATATTGTTTTAACTAACTATAGCCTGATCGCTGCTATACAATCTACTTCTGCCTTTATAGAGTTTACCCAAACTCTGGTACATACATTACAAACTATCTACAGTATCCCCAACTACTCAAACTACCAATTTAGATAGCCTGGAAGGGCTGTGATCTGCTCCTGGTCCTGTACATATCAACTAAAGCCTAGATTAGTCAGATTATGAGTATAGAAGACTCTAGCAGATTTACTCTGAGAATAAAATTATTCTAAAGTAGTTACTAAAATAGTATTGTATCGAGATTATATATATAGAAATATATGTATGACAGATATAGATCATCTAGTTGTAAAAGTAATCCAAACAATAATAAAATACATGACCAAAGGGATCACCTTAACATCAAAAAAAAAAAAAAAAATTGTCTTATTATTAATAGAAATTTGGTTATAGCAATCAATATATATTTTTGGATTATTATGTTTATTGAATTTTATGCTTTTAAAAGAATCACTTGGTTTGTCAAGATTGCAATAATCACTTTTTATTTTGAAGAATCAAAGAAAATAAATTACTAAATCAATTATGATCCTAATCATCAATAGCACATGATTTTTGAAACTTTTTTGGGTAATGATTTTATCTTGGTCACAATATTATGCAAAAATATAGTAGTCAAAATATTATTTTTAAAATAAACTCAAATAGTGCTGTTAGTCAATCGACTAATAGTCGACTAACTGAATTATCGGTTAAGTCACTGCTTAGTCAACTAAGTCATTAAAGGCAAATTTTGCTTTGCTAATAATGATCTCATGTGTCGATACAGATCCTATATAAACAATAATCAACTTATCTAATAAAACTCTTAAAAGAAGACAATAGTTGAACTTTAACCAATAATTTTTAGTTTGTTGACTAAGTCAATTTGGTCGATTTAGTTGATCAGAGGTCAGCTAAGTCAACTTAGTCGACTAGCTGCATATCAGCTTATAATACTAAACTCAGATGTTTAATTAAATTACAATTAATTTTTAGTACTCTGAAAAGTATATATCAATATTTTTTAAATTTTATGCTATTGAAAAATTGTCAATATATAAATTCAAAAGTAAAATATATGAAGAAAAAAAATCTTATAAGATCATTAAAATTAATTTCAAAAATCAGAATATTCAGATATAGGTATTTCTAGGCATCTCTGGCCAGAGATGTCTAATGATAATATTTCAGACCTAAGGGCCAATTAAAATACTAAATAATCATGTAATAGCTGTTTTCATATAGTACAAAGAATGATCATCACGGATCAATTTGACAAAACAAAAACAACAACAAAAAGCATGAAAAAGTAAAGAATATGAAAAATATCAAAAACAGCTATTTAAAACTATTTTGGGTCACTAATTAAAAGTATCGAGAAGGTGATTTTGCTTATATAACTTGCTTTTGCCCTAACCCTATATGACCCTAACCTTAATTAAGTTATTTGATCGGGTATAGCTTTGGGCCAAAAATATATAAGCTAAATATATCTGGCCAAAGATGCCTAGAATTGTTCATTCAGATATTTGTTAAATTTTAAATATACAAACAGATAACAGATTACATCTATTAAAAAAACCCTGAATAATAAATTTTCATGAAATTAATATTGCTAAATTGGCTATTACAAAATTATATGAGTTATATACTATACATTAATATTTTGGTTGACAAAATTAAATTTAATTTTAATATTTTTATAATCTTTTATATTGATCGATAATATAAGTAGAATTTGATAAATTATTGTTAAATTGGATATGAAACATTTGTATTGATCTTGATTTTGATTACTTGTATAATACAAAATTTTATTAAATTTTAGATCATTAGGGATGTGACAAAAATCAGGTGATTTTTTAGGGGGGAGGGGGTAAAAAAAGTTAAAATTATATATAAGAACCTGATTTGTTTTATATTAAAAAAGGGGAGGGGGTAAGCCTCTAATAAAAATAATCAGGTGATAAATAACACTGCCCTTATAAATTATTAGAAATTATAATTAATATTAATATAAAATATGTGCATATAATTATTACACTGACTGCTAGAGATTTGGTATATTGACTGCAGATTATCATAGGAACTCTCAATTCTTGATTTTTATTGGTCATATCTGACAAACATTGCATAAATATGCATCAAACTTTGTATAAACAATTGAGTCCTTACTATGCTTTGGACAATTATATTTAAAATATGTATTTAGTACAAAACATTTTGTAAGAACTTATACTAAATACTTTGTACTCACTAAAATAATCTATCAAATATATCTTTAAATAACCAAAATTGAATATATATTTTTTTCAAATTCTGAATACAAGTATATAAAATTCTAATAAATTCAATAAAAAAACTCTAATATGGCAAGTTGACGAACTCTATACATTATATTTCTAACTAAAACAAAGTCTTTTGTTTACTAGAGTTCAAAAGTTTAACATATTAGCAAATATTAATAATTTAAAAGTATAAAAGAATTAAATATACCTTTGTTTATTTTTAAACACTTGATAACAGAATAATATTTGATTTTAAATCTATACACTTGGCTAAAAAAAAATTAATCAGTTGTTATATATCTAATTATATTATCTACACATAGAATATTCTGTAAACAATATAAATATATTTCAAAAACTCAAAATCAAAAAAAACAGATACTCAAATAAGTGTATATACCTTATCATCAATTTTATCAGTTAAAAGATCTCTATTACTATCACTTTTTTTATTTTTTTTTTTACTTTTGATAAGTATCTTTTTTTCTAATTTTGTAAATAATAGTATTCTATTTTGGTATTCTCTTGCTAATAAATTTATTCTAATATTAACTAATATTTGTTTAAGATTCTAATAATCATTATATTTAGACAATAAGAAACCTTATAATATACAAATAAATCTTTAATTTGTGTTTGTAATTTTATCAAAAACTTTTCAACATTATCAAGACATATAGAAAACAATATATTTCAAGGAGTTTAATATTTTTTGCATCTTAAAGTAACTATAGTTTTTGTTTAGCAAGTAGTTTAATACCTATTTATAATGTTTTCTTTTGTTTACTACCTTGTATATTTGATTGAGGCTTATCATTAGCTATGATTTCTTCTTTATTATTTTTTACTTCTTTTATATTGTCTTTATCTATCTTATCAATATCTTTCTTAATAACTTTTTTCTCTCTTTTTATATTATCTTTTTCTTATCTATATTCTCACTAGTATTACTGTTATTTTTTATTGGCTCAACCTCAACCAGTATCTCAAATTCAAGTTCAAAAAGACTAGTAATATATAATTTTTTATAATTTATTCTTTTAGCAGATAGTTTCTTTAAATATTTTAGTGATTAAAATAAGCTAGCTTATCATAGTATTACGGTACCATGGTCTTCTTAACAGCAGTACTATAACAATGGCATAGCTACAGTGATCTTTCACAGGTTTATAGCAGTGTTCAACAGGTAAGTATAATTTCTACTACAATTAGAAACTATATCCTTCTGTCTGTGACAGTTCAGGCAAACAATAGTTTATAGATAAAGTATATATTTTATTAAAGAAAATAAGATAGGCTATCCTTAGGTTCCTATTTCTAAAGAATCCTATAATATTACAAGAGAAAATTTAGGGAAGAGAGGAGTCTGGGTCTAAGAGGTGAATAGTGCAGGTCTAATATTAACTTGAGGAAATTTATATCCTTTTTATATCTTTAAAGCTAATTGCTAATTGTTGTAGCTAAGCGTAGTTTACTTAATACTAAGCGTAAAGTATAATTGCTAATTGTTAAGCGTTAAGCACTAATCATAATTGCTAAGTGTAATCGCTAATGTTAATTGCTAAGCATAATCATTAATCATTAATCACTAAGCGTAATTGCTAATCGTTAAGCGTAATCACTAATTGCTAATTGTTAATTGTTAAGCGTTAAGCGTACTACATGTTTGTTAAATTCTACTCTAATAATAATAACTAAATAATATTAAATAATAATAAGATAATAAAATAATAGATAATAAAATACAATATCGAAATAATTAACTAATAAAATAATAAACTGTTCTATAATATTTCTGTCCCCTTATAAAAATTTGCTCTGCAAATTTTTAACTAAAGACTGATACTCTTTATCAGTAAACTTGACAATATGTATTATTATAAAGTATCGGGTCTGATACAACAATTCTTTAGATTGGATGCTAAAAATTTGTTGGAGTTAAGTGGCTTTTTTCCAAATATCTTGAGTCTTTTGAGAACCCTGAGAAGCTTGTAGGAGTTCACAGATCTGTTGTCATTTATCAGGTTGTTTCTGGATAAGAATTTCTAAGTACAGATATGCTTTGAGAACTTTTATCTGTTTGGGTCAAGTTCGGCCTTTATTTTCTAATTGTCAAAGAATCTTGGTCAATTGGTCTTTTCAAGTTCTATCAATAAAAAGGTTAGAATGGTTATGCAGTAGAGGAGTAAGAGGTTGAGTTAGTTCGGCTTGAACTTTTTGAAAAATTTCTGTTTCTGGTTCTATTTCAAAAAGAGAATTGTTTAAAGTGAGGTTCATTTCTGGGTCTGTATCAGGTGGAGAATTGTTTAGAGTTGGGTTGATTTCTGAGTCTTCGGTTAGGATGTTATCTAGGAGAGCTTCCATATCAATAGAGTCAATTAGAATATCTACTGCAGTATTTACTAGGGAAGTAATATCAC